TTTGGCTGCTGTTAGGCTGGGCAATCTCTGTAAGGAGCCAGAGGGTGAGACATGGAGAACTTGCAAAGCAGGGGCCATAGCCTATACAATTCCCCCGCTGCAGAAACACAGCAGCATAGGAGAGCAAATGTTGTGTTGCTCTCTGCTCTGTGTTCATGTTTTCCTCTCTTCCTCTGGATGCCGTTTTTACTCATCACAACTGACCAGATGAATGAGAGGTGGCTTACAATATTCTAAAGACATCTTTAAAACTGTAGTAACTAACATGAATATTTAAAGGGCATATGTTTGTGGTACTGTGAAATAACTTTTCAGAGGTTTAAAAAACCAAAAAAAGTTCATGTAAATGATTTGGCTGGAAGCAAATTTGTGTTGTTATGATGATTTGATCATCCTTAGGTTTTATTGTACACATCAGGTACTTTATTTAGGTTATATTGTATGTGATTCATGCAGTGTCAGAATTACTTTATTAAAACACATAATACAATTATGCTTAAAAACCTGAATGCATTGTGATTGACAAATTAGAATAATAAAGCTAATTTAGTATTGACTTTTTCTGAAAGTTGAAAGAGTAAATAATTATATTTTGTTTATTGAAATGTGCTCATCAGACACTTCCACGTGTATAATACTTTTGAAACATGAGGATTTTTAATGGAAACTGTAATATTTAATGATCAAAGCAGACTTCAGAACATATATTTGAATCAACAAATAAGAAACTGGAACAGATTTTTGTATTCATTACCTTTGGAAATGCATTTCTGTCTGTTTAGAGTGCAGCAGGTAGAGATTGGCCTTTCTGAAAACATTTGTGCAGCAGATAGCGCATTGGAATAGGGCAAGGGTGTTGAAACACTTCCAGCTGAAGGGCTGAATTTTTGAGAAGCTCTCGGGCTGCATTCTAGCTTTCACAGAAACCATATTCACATGAGAGCTTTGCAGCCCTATAATTAACAAATCAACTAAGACTGTCTACTGTGGAGTTCATTCTGCTGCTTCCAGTGTACCCGCTGGATTTGGAAAGCCTCAGACCCTTTATGCAGATGCTGAACATCATGAAAATATAGCCTCGTGAAAATATAAATGTTCAAATTTTTAATGAATACTCTGAATGGAGAAACTTTAGAAAGCATTGGACCATAATTCCTCAGAATGGAATGCTGCAAACTAGGTGATCTTGAAAGGGGTGACTTTTGCCACTTCCCCTTTTTACCACCTGTGCCTCAGAACACTGCTCTGGGGGACATTGATGTGTGTGATTGCGTTGGGAGATGCAGAGGAAAGGAGGAGTCTGTGAAAACTGCTGCCCTATATCGTTCCTCAGCACAGACTGCTACATCTGTTTTCTCTACCAAGAGAGTCCAATTCTGGATCTAACCCAATTACTGTATTCAGAAAACAGGATAACCCACACTTGAGATTGACTATGGCTTGTTGGTGAAACATAGGTTATGGCATTGTCTGAACCCAGTTGCAGTAACAAACGATGGCTTTGTTAACATCAAGCAACCTATGAAGAAAACATATGGTTTGTTGCTGTGTTGTGAACTGTGAGTTGTTTTGCTGGGTTCAGACAACATGATAACCCACAGTTCAAGGACAACTCACACTCAGCACATACACTTCTTTTATTGTGGTGTCTGAAGCCATGCAAAAAGTGGCATCTGTATCAAAATTGTATGATTTTAGTGGCAGTCAAAATTTACAGCTTCCACAGGAAAACTAAGCCCAGGAAATTATGGAAACCCCACAATGCGTCTTCAAACAGAAATCAAACAAAAAACACAACTTGATCTGTTCACAATATTTTTTTGTGTGCTGTGCGTTCCTCTGCCATTCTTCCTGGGTGAAAGAATATATAAATCCAAATATTGTTGTAAGTCAGTATTGTTGAAATCAGTCATTTACTGTCTGCAGGTAAAATCAATCAGTGTGTATCTTTTCCAAATCAGCTGTGAAGCTGTGTGGCACCTTTGCTCCCTGTTTCTCATCTTCAGTAGAGCTTGCAGTGATATTTTATTTCAAACTATGTATGCAAACTAATTGCTAATGTGTGTTGAGAATAGCAAGTTTCGTAAAGCTGGCCTGGTTCATATAAATATTTGTCTGTTTTGCTTCTCCTTTGGTTCTTTCTTTTAGTCTTGTTTGCTACACAGGATTTTAATTTGCCTATATGATAGGGCAGGATTAGTCCTTAATCACTCATAATTAAGATTAATCACTTTGTTTAAAATTTATATAATGTTCCACTCTATCTTGTCACCTCTGGCTGGATTGCCTTTGGCTATGTATGCTTTTCTTCATCCTTTGCCAGAATTGTCTTCAGTATTGGACACTTTTTCAGAGATTTCTAGTCCTCTTTCACCATCCTTTTTTTTTAAGAAATATTTTAGTAGTACAGTATTAATGAAATGCCCACCTGCACTTACCTTTTGTTTGTTACAACCAAGGAAAATTGCTCATGCTCACTTTCTCTCACACTCACATGCACACAAGTATGTGCAAGCATGCTCATAAAATTTTTTCTTTAGTCTTGTTGAAGCCTACGTTTAGGAATGTTGAGGGGATACTGGTACTATGAAAGGTACCACATGCTTTTTGGACACATGCTCATCATGGCTGAGAAAAGCTAATTGAAATTAACTTGTGGGTCCTTTTAGCCAGAATTGTATCACATTAGAGTAGACAGGGACCTATCTTGCAAAGATCTATCTGCTCCTCAAGAAGCCATCTTTATGTAAGTATTTGTTAGTGACTGGCCGGTGTCCAACTTTCTGTTTTTAAGTAGCATGGTAGACTTTGTAGAGGATGGACTAGGCAGTTATTCTTGGCGTGTTTTCCAAATTCAGGGTTGCACTGACTCTTCCAATAAGGACTGAAAACTGGGAGATGGGGGGAGCGTACAGTGGACAGAACTGAGTGGACAGAGGAGGGTAAGGCTGTCTCAAGGCTACCACCTCCCAGAATCTCAGACAGACCATGGGAACCGACAGGGTTTGGAAGACAAGGGAAGGGACAGAGGAGAGGAGAAAGATGAACCTGTGCACATCCAGTCCCTGATCCCCATGAAGTGGTGTCATGACAAGAGCTATCCAGTCAGAAGGCTTGTGTAGATCTTGAAGGCTAGTCCTACTCACGAGGGGTGGAGCTCAGTATTATTGAAAAGGAAGCTATTTAGCAGTAGTTTATAGTTTGGGTTTAACTAATCACTCTGACTGCTCTTTCAGTCGCTTGTTAGCTGTCAATCGGCAATAAAGAGCTATTTGCAGAGACTGTCCTTTTGGAGGCTTGAAACGGATAATGGGAAACCAAGCTCCTGACAGAGTTTTTGATAGTTGAGCTACTGCAGATGATTATGGATAAACACTTCTTTCTTTAATCTAGTAATACTTCTGGTTTGGATTCCTCATCCTAATACTGGTAATGGCAATGTAACTTTAATCAGACTGGACCTTTTGAGCAGTTTCTGATATGGTGGCTCACATAATTTACTTACTACAGAAAGAAATTTTAAGAAAATGTTGAGCTCTGTTGAACTGAGGTAGTGATTTGTATAAATTACACAATATATAATTGTATTGGATGCTGTTGGGGGAAGTACATGTACCTCTTGTCCACAAAAGTTTGTCTGCTCAGAGAATCATGTCTTGGTTATTTAGTATGACAGAAAACAGATTTGTAGGTGCCTGAACTTTGTAATGCAAGGGTTTTATTGTCATGTTTTCGGTTTCTCACTGAGCTAAAAAATTAATGCTTTGCAGCGATGAAATCCAAATTCCTCTGTGCTGGGAACCTGGTCTAATATTTACTGTATATCAGTTGGATGTAGCTACCCAGCTGCTGGAGAGCGCCACAAAAACCTCTCTCTGCCTCCCTCACCATCTACTTCCAGACGCACAGCATGTACTTCAACCCCATGTGTTTTCTTCAGTCCTGTATTTTCCTAGTTTTCCTTGCCTCAGCCTGACTGTGAAGAGTCACTGAAATGAGCTGGATTGATCGGCCTTATAGGCATGTTTTGTGCAGTTCTGAATACCAGTTGGACTGCAAAGGCTTACTTAAATCTGTCTACTCACTTTGTACTCTAGCAGCATACTCTAGATCAGTCTTTTTAATTGTTTTTAAGAATATCTGTCTTCCCAGGTAACGGAGGCAGAGGAAGGAGATTAAAAACATCAAATCATCAAGGAAGAAGAGTGTAGGGATCATATCCCATGCTGTCTTTGGAGAAAAATAGCTTAAATGAATTACTTGAGTGTGTTTTCCTGAAATCTTTTTGAGAGAAATGGTGGATGTTCAGTCTTGAAGTTTTGCTATTTATCCAAATAGAGGAAAATTTAGTTAAGCCAAACAGCTACAGTGGAGAAAGAGCTATCTTTATGGATATATTGTTATATGCTCCAATATCCTCATGCTCAAGGAAGCTTGCTAATAAATAACAAAGCCAGTATTTCTAAGATACAAAGCAGAATTGAAATGTCCAGTAAATAAACAGCAAGGAAAAAAATTTGTATAACAGCAGCAAATTTAATACCCCCGAACTAGTTTTACTCTTTGGTGTGTGTTGGTATTTCCATTCTGCACATGAAGCAGATTCAAGCCAACAGTGGAAATTCCCATTCTGTACAATTTTGATTGTTATAAAATAATACTTGGCCTGGCTCATAATATTTTATCAAGGAACAGGGGATTCCTATGAGAATATTTGGATCTGATCCCTTGAAAGTATTTAAAGATCAAGACTAGCACCTTGAATCAGGGTTAGAACTTACTTAGAAATCTGTAAGAATGTCATTCTTCCAACCTTCTCGCCACAATTAGGACATGGTTTGCACACCAGTTTGGCATTTTTGAGCTGTTATCAAGATCAATCCCATTTAAGGTGCATTTAATTTAATCCTTGAAGATTTGGTGGAGTTTAGGTTAGACATTTACTTCTGATAATGGTCATACATATACTTACTGGCCACTCCTGACATACAGTAAATATCAGATGTTTGAGAACCACAGGTGGCACCCACAAGTGGGCAAGCAGACATCCATGGGCAGTGGTGGCAGGTAGCGAGTAGCAAGTGGGTGCCCCCAGGCAATGAGCCACAAAATAACTTCACAGAGCTGCATGCAGCTCCCAAGCCTCAGTTTGGCCACTGATGCATGTACTCACCATAATGATTTCTTCTTTCAACTAATGGCCACAGCCTCCCATCATGAGCATGAGTGTTCTTTCAGACATTTATAGGGTGTTAAAGCTATGTGATCAGACTTCTTTTATTTGGAAGCAGCTTCCTATACTCCATTGCAGTGTGATGTAATTTAGGGAGTTGGTGTAAACTGGAACCCCAGTTGCAGCTGTGTACTTGTTACATGGTTCTCTGGATTATGACTTCTGTTTTGAAAATGAGGTCCAGATATACTATTTGCCTGTCTCGCTGTGCTTTTACTTCATTTTGAAGTAAATGAACTACTTCAAAACCTCCTGAACTGTGAATAAATTTATGTGCCCAGAAGCAGGAGTGTGTTTGTTTCATTTTTGAAGCAGAAGCATTGACATCTTATTGACACCGCTACAATTTGTATTCACTTAGAATTTACTGGAAGATAGTATTTTCTATGATAATTTTAAACAAAACTTGTCCATTTTATAAAAAACAACTTGAAGTTATCAGTAACAAATGGTTTAATGTGGGCATATATTCAGTAAAAATGTTTCAATTTTTTCACCTAGAAAATGAAATAGTTTTTCCAGTCGGTCAAGCATTGTCTTGGAGTTCACAATACATTTCTTGCAACACATGAACCAAAACCAATATTTATTCTTTATTTGCTTTAGGTCCTGGGGTAGCCCAGAATGGCTGCAGTGTCATATGATCAGTTGTTAAAACAAGTAGAGGCATTAAAAATGGAGAACTCAAACCTTCGACAAGAACTGGAAGATAATTCAAATCATCTTACCAAACTGGAAACTGAAGCATCAAATATGAAGGTATAAAATCATTTGACTTTAGTATGACTTTGGACTGTGGCACACATCGCACAGCCCCATGAATTTCTCTCATAGAAGTCAGTCGCTATCCAATCCTGTGCACTTAGATATTTGCTTCTCCCTACATTTTACAGAATTCTAATTATGCTGTACTTAATTTGTTTACTTAAAATATATACCCTTGCTTACCAAAGTTCAAGACAACTCACAACAAAAACCATTAAATAAATGTGCTTGTTGCTGTAGAAAAAACTACCTTGTATAAGACATTTATAGGATGCATCTTGAATATAGTATGTGTAATATTATTCTATATTGTGAAGGCAAAGACCTCCCTTGTCATTCAGGAGCCTGACACAATTAGCCTGGTACCTTTCTTTAATTCTTGGCCAGGTCTTTTAAATTGTCTTTTTATTGTCTTTTTAACATTTTATACTATTTTAAATTATTTTTAATTCTTAATGTTTTTATCTAGTATATGTTATTGTTTTTATAGTTTGTTGTAAAACTGCCCAGACAGCTTTGGCCATGGGCAGTATAGAAAATAATAATAATAATGATAATAATGTGTTGTAGTTTCTCAAGCAACATGCTTGACAGATATGCCAAATTCTGGTACACAGTGGTTCGTTCATCCTAAGGGCTAAACTAAATATAGCATTATTTAAATGGTGTGGTTTCAACTGTTTTTGAAAGAAATAGTTTTGTGGGCACCCCAGGCCTGTTTGATATTGTAATAAGCCTGTGCCTTCTTCACAGTTCAATTATGCCTGCTATTGGCAATGGGAGAAAAATTTCTATTAGCACCTAGGGAATGTTTCTCCATTTGCAAACAGGAGGTTCAGGAGCCTTGCTTCAGATCAGGACTGCAATGAGGAGAAAGGAATAAGTCTCCTCCTTAACCGTATGGCACAGTTCTAGTTGATCCCATGCCCTCCCCCACCTGCTATTCATTTTTTCTTTATATAAAACAAGCAATTGTCATATTTAGTTTGGCCTTAAGATATCCTTCTTGCATCCTCCTTGCATTACATTAGAATTGTGGGAGTAACCACCACTTCGGTGACCCTAGTACACATGGGAGAACCCACACTGTAGCTCTTTCCTCTGTCAGAATTACCTGGTGACACCAACCCGCAGCAGAGGCAGTGTATGCTCCTCATGTTTTCTTAGTGGTGCCACCCTGTGTACTGGGGACTGCAGGCCAAGAAGGATTCAGTGTCCTGATCAATTTTGGTATGTGCTGGTACCGTCTTTCTATTCCTTTCTCTCTCCCTGTGTTTTCTATGCACTGTTGAAGTAATGCCAGCTCACCTGCACTCGAGTTGGATGATAGCTAGGGCAGGCAGGTATTATCCTTTTGAAGGATATGACTCTTTAACAGTGTTTGGTTGAGGAAAGGGAAGATGGTATTAGCCCCACATGTGCTTTTCCTGCCCTTTGGCAATTTAAGTCTGGAGTTGTTACCCACCCCTCTCCCATGGTGATCTCTTCATATATATGTATCTTGTTGGAGTGTACATACGAGAAGCTTGGTGTGGTTAAAAGAGGTAGAAGCTCCATACTAATGTATTTATTTACATTTTTTCTAGGCAGTGATACACTTTGTTGTTGTTGGTATCCAAAAGTCATTGGATTGAGGACAGATGCTTGAAGTCTTTTAAAATCTATATATTGAAATAAATTGGTTGGAAAATCAAATAATCATGTATTGTTACTGACAACTTTGAGGCAGGTGGTTTTATTTCTGCAAGAAATAAGTTATTTAATTTGATGATAGACTTAAAGTAAAAAAATAATTTTTACCAATAGCAGAAGACAGTTCATAAACACAGTAGTACAAAATGAATATAACTATTTCTTGGGAAAATATAATTCAAATAAATTTGTGGATGTCTCTGTTTCAAACTGTTGGCTTTACAGACTGACTTTGCAAGGTTGTACTTATCAGTATTTTTAAGGGCATTCAGCCTTTTCATAGTTTGTGAATTATCCTTGTTTTTTCCCTTAGACATATAACTATTGTAAGGCATAGTTTTAAAAATCCCAGGTAATACAATGTTTTAAAAACATGATATTCTGAGTTGAAATGTTCCGACACACTAATGAAAGGAAGTCACAAAAAGGCTCTGCTTAGCTTCATTCAGCTTTTCATTTGCTTGCCTGCTTTCTGTCCCATGGTGGTAGCATGATCCATGTGTCTGTACTATGTTACATTCACAGCTAAACATGTGCTTAGAATGTGTAATAAGCTGCAGTAATAGCTGTGTGGGAAAGGCAAATAATTGCTTAAATGCTTCATCCAAGGAACATGACATTACAGTAGGACTTGATGTTTTTGCTTGTTTTTTGGCACCAGGTTAAGACCTTTTTATTCGATCAACATTTTAATAAGTTTTAGTATTGTATTTTTACCATTATATTTTAACCACAGCCAGAGTGGATTGATAATTTATGTTTGGTGATATTTGTATTTTATCTTTGTAAGCCATCCTGAGGCTTTTCAAAGGATGGCATATAAATATCATTCATGAATGAATGGGGGGTGGTGCCAGACTTTAACAGGCATGATGAGCATCCAGCCTTCATCCCAAGTTTGAAACTGCAAAGGGGGAAGATGGTCATGTTTTCAGCTTTACGGCGCTCTCTGTCCCCTGCTGTAAGGTAGTGAGAAAGGCTGCAGGTAGTTTGACAGCTGTATGGCCAAGATGTCCAGCACCCCTTTCCTGCTCTAAAAGTGTGTCTGGGGTGGGGGGCAGGGGATTCTTTGGTTGCCATTGAATGATGATTACTACTTGAATATTTCAACCCAAGATGTTCTCTTTACCCTTTTCTTGCAGGAAAGATGGGGCTTTTTTGGCTGCTGCTTAGTGGAAGCACTTATAGGTCATCTGAGTACTGGCTAAAATTGCAATGCTTCCTGTCTGCCTCTCTGCAGGGAAGGGAGCAGGGGCATGTCTTAGCTCCTGTTGGGCAGCATGGTAGGGAAAGGAACCTGGTGTTGATCATGGTTTTTGGCTTCACGAGCAAGGTTAGCCCAACAGTTATGGAATCCTGGTTATTGTAAGCTATGGTATGCGAGTATGTATGGAATGAAGATTTAATAAGCAATTTAAATAAGCGATTGTGCTCTCAATCTTTTATATTTGTGAGGCATGGGCAGCAGGTGATTGTCAGAAGATGGTAATGAGTTGGGATTTTCCAGGAGGATGGTACTAACATCCAAGCAAAATTTGCTACTAATATGGCATGTAGCAAATGGAAAAAATATCTTCTGGTTACAAACCATTCCCTAAAGTAGCAACACCAAGATTTTGCTGTATCAACCTTTCAAGATTAGATGTGACACTGTTAAGATCAGATCTGTAGTGTTCTTTTGAACTTCAAAATAACTAAGGTGGTTCTTGCGCTGCTCTGTATGTGTTCAGATCTTAGCTTTTCTCTCAGCCGTCATCCTGCCAAGCCAAGCAAGTACTTGTAGAATCTGGTGGATCTGCTGCACAGGAAAAGTGAAGGAGCAGTACTGGCACTTAGAAAAATGTTGGCATACTGCTGCTTACCAATATTCAGCAGCACCCTATCCCTGTTAATAGATCTGTGGAAGGATGCTTCTTCACATAAATGTTGGGTTTGATAGTAAGAACGGCCTGCAGTTGACAATTTACCTCCTTGTCCTCCGAGTTGTGGTACCCTTTTTAACAGCGAACCTCTGGGGGAGAGTGACAAAAACATTGAAGGTGGAGGTGCATGATTAAGGTTAACAGTGTGTGAGAACTGTAATTATGCTTTTAGAACATTGATATGATTTCCATGATATTTTGGCTCTAAAATGCGTGAATTGTTTTGCTATTTTCCTTCTTGAATCACGAAATATCTTTTGTTCTGCTTTTAGATACTGCATACTATAAAAGCACTCCTGTTTTATATGTGGCACAGTGCAAAAATGTTAAAGTACATCAGATAGGCAAACATTTCCAGGAAAAAAAAATCAAATACTTGTTGTGGATAAGAGACCTGTGGTTTTTTCTAAAATTTATTTTCAAATTCTAAATAAAACAATTCTGTAGATGTTCCTCCATCAAGGAAATTGCTGAGTAGTTCCTTCTGATTGTTTAAAGTGCTCAAGACTTTATTGTGTCTGTTACTTCTAAAAGGAGCTTAAAAGAAAGGACAGATACATTTTTATACTGTTATCTTGCCTTGTAGCCATGCTTTTCAATTTACTTTAGCTGTTGGTAGTGCTTCTATACAAGAAAATCTTCCAGGTCTCTTACCTAGCAGTCTACCTGAATGTAGGCCTGTTGAACGTTATGAGCCTGGAAGCCTACTAGGCTCTCTTAATTCAGCAACCACTTTTATGTTCATTATGTTTTTCTTAGACTGTTTGATCACCAATTTCTAGCAGACTACAATAATGACTCTGTGTGAAAGGGAAATAATTGCTATTATACGTTGTCAAAAGAAAATGACATTACAGCAAGGCTTTGACATTTTTGCTTGTCATGGAGAGTGGTGCCAGCCTTGTTTAAGTAGAGATGTTACAAACGTTATTTTATATATACATTTCTTAAATATGATTCTTAGCTTGTTTAAGAGTCAGACAGCTTCGATGTAGTATGACACAATTTTGGGAAATTACAGAAAATCTTATTGTAAGTCCCCTTTTCTGTTTACAATTAGATTAAGTAGTAGTAAAACCTTGAGAGCTTTTGTTCAATATCTTATTTGAAGTCTTTTTACTAAAATGCCTTATCAATTTCAGCAAAAGCAAATGAGCCAATCTCAGTGGGGAAAAACATTGCCATAGTCTAGTAGATCCACTATAGAGTGGAAAGTATTACAAAATACTATTTTTTCTTGTTATAGTATGGATTTCTTAACAGTAGTCTTTTTTATTTTCTAGGAGGTGCTGAAGCAACTGCAAGGAAGTATTGAAGATGAGGCAATGGCTTCATCTGGACAGATTGATTTGTTGGAACGTCTTAAAGGTAAACTTGGAGGAAGACTACCAGGGAACAATAGCTGTCAGGAAATAATGGCTTATCACAGATCAGGGATGGCCAGCTTCTGGGAACAAAAATATGCTTTCTCCCATAAATTTCCTGTCTTGCAAAGTCACCTGGCAGTAGTGGCCTTCACAGTTGCAAAGCATATACATGACACTGCATATTTTTACCATTATGAGAGTAAGCAAAATAGACATTTTTTCATTAAGAATGGCTTAACCTGCCAATTTTGGCCTCACACAATTGCTCAATTTTCCCAACCTTAAATTAGTTTTGTCCCATTTTTATAATTTTTTAATTTTTAAAAAGAAATTTCTACTGGGAACTTCATTTTTGTGTGCGTTTCCCCCAATACACACATTTTATTATAATTTTTATATCCCTTGGACTGGATATAAGTCAGTGGCATAGTATTAATTTTGAAGTGCAGGTGTGATCTTGACCACTCCATAGGAATGCCCCAAGGCTCCAAAAATTGCAGGCAGTTGTATTGATCCATACCAGTTCTGGTAGATTTCATCTGTTCCAGAAAAGTCTTTTGTAAGTTAGTGGGTATTAATTGCCCATTTAAGACTGCAAAATACTTTACAACAGGGAACTATATATTCTTCCTGGGAAAATTCATTGCCCCCAGCCACTGTGAGGATCCCTGCTAAGCTCAGAAGAAACAGGAAATTCTGAGAAAATTACTGTAAGTTTCCTGGTTTAAAAAAAAAAAATGCAACACCTGACATCATTATACTACTGATCGAATTTTAAGCTGGATCAGTAGAAGAGGATTGGTCAAGAAGCACTGCTGAATGGGATGAGCTGTCAAATGTAGGGTAGTGGAGAATTCCAAGAGATCAGGTGGAGTGAACCTCTGTTAGTAAAGCTCTCTTTGTGGAAGACAGATCCTAGACCCGGTGTCTCCATTAGAATTTGATAGGATTGTGAAAAACCTGGTAAAATAGCTTTGGGTACAAGAATCTGGATCATAGACTACAAGTTGGCTGTCTTCATCGTACATTAAAAATAATCCTCACCAATTCTGATTTTAGTGGTATTATATTTTGGGTTTAGAATTTAATAGAACATTTGTTGCCTGCTTCATCTATTACTAGGTGATAGTTTATATTAACAGCTTAATGACATTAACAGAGTTGTTTATAGCCTAGATATTTTCTCTGTTTCTGTTCAGAATTGAACTTGGACAGCAATAACTTCCCTGGAGTGAAGTTAAGGCCAAAGATATCCATGCGTTCATATGGGAGCCGGGAAGGATCAGTTTCTAGTCGATCAGGAGAGTGCAGCCCTATCCCCATGGGGTCATTTCCCCGAAGAGGTTTTATGAATGGAAGCAGAGAGAGCACTGGATATCTGGAAGAATTAGAGAAAGAGAGGTAATTTTTCATCCTATATAAGAAAACTTAAGTAAAACATGCTAATTAAATGGCACCTCTCCCCCTTTTTTTGCAGAAGGAGCAAACATTTCTTGCTTCTAACATGGTATATTGAATAAATTAAATTTCTAATTTCATTCTTGTAAATGTGCAATATTTGCTGCTGTGCTCATAGATTTCTGAAATGATCAAGGATTGTCTGTGCTAGTTTAAGGGATGTGTGACTTACACAGGTACTGTTTGTCTCTTCCTCCCAGTGTGCAGTTTATTTGGAATACTATTTCCCAAAAAGACCTCTGAATCAGTAATATGTATATTTTGTTGATTTAAAGGTTAAATAATATGCACACATTTTCTAGTTGCCGATTAATTGTTTTGTTCTTAATTGCAATATCAAGGGTTTGGATCCAGAGGTAAGGATGCATGAGCAGAAGGCACTTCTGTGCATGCACAGTGGGTACAGTGGGGATCTTTCCTGGCTGCCAACCTCTCTTCCCACACACTTCACCACAAACACGCAGTACATTGCATGCCATTATGGAGGGTCCCCTGATCCTCATGGGTTCTTGCAGAGCAAAGGCAAGAGGAACCACACATGACTTCAAACACTCTTGGAAGGGCCTTCTGCTTGCAAAGAACTTCAGAGTTAAACTATGGATTGTGGCAAGCGTGGGCATATCTTTGGCTCCTGTGATCTCCTTTTTTTTTTTTTCTGGCCAGATAATCAAGATTCATTAGCCAGAGTCTCCCACAGCAGGAGATTTGGAGCCATAACACAAAATGATAGCATACACCAGAGCTGTAGATTTAGCTTTTGCATGACACATAGGTTGTCCAGATTTTTCCTGCCTGAAGCTGTCCCTTATTGCAAGTGACAAAGTTAGTTAAAATAGTACTACACAGACTTACAGATTTAACTTACTCAGCATTCCATTATGACCCAGACTATTAAAAATGCTTCAGGCATCTGAGGGGAGAGTTGTCCTTGTATACTACCTTACTATACTAAAGGCAGAAGCTTTCACTGTAGCTGTACAAGTTAAGGCAATTGTATAATTGAACCTACAACTTTTTTGACATTTAAACACTAGGAAACGCCAAAGCTTTTTGTTTCCAGAAAAACTCTGGGGTTGGTCTAATATTTTAGAATTTAATTTACAAGAGCAATTGAACCTTTCAGAACAAAGCTACTGAGACTGGAGGCTCCACTCCTTCCTATGCCCTGCCACCAAGAATAAACAAGGTGAACTTGGCGAGAGGGCAGTATCCAACATAGGTTTTTTCCTACAAATGGGGAAAAAAATCTATCCCATTGTTGGCAATGGGAAGAAAACATTTAGGTGTGCCTTTGAGCACTTCTAAATGATTCGTGGGGATGGCTGGTAGTGGTTGGGCCTAGTAGGTTATTGGATGTTTTTGGATTCATGGCCTCTCCTTGATCCCTTTACCTCTAGTGAAGCAGAAGTTTCAGTCTTGTAGAGGGAGCCACCATTAAAAATCTCTGTGGTAGCTGGGTAGAGCCAGGAGGGGGTTTTTGGCATTGGACAAAATCCCCATCTGTGATTGGACCTCTGTCTACAACTTTGAAAAGTTTATTCTGAAGAATTGTATGACACTTGGGATGCTTTCTAAGATCATAGGATTGTTTTCTATATCGCCAGTGAAATCTGAGTATGATTTTGTATCTTTTTGCTATTTGTCTTTTGCATCTTACTTTCTAATTTCACAGTTACAGTTGACTTCTGTGCCCTTCAGTGCACTTCATGATTCTACTAAACAGTTTTAATGGAAAATGTCCTCTATATGAACATTCATGCAAGTCAGCCATAAAGTGTGGAATCATACTGGAAAACAATGTGTATTCTCCTTGTTTCCCTTGAAAAATTGAAACAGGTCCCTTTTGGAGTATAAGATAGTCAGTTACAGCCTTTTAAAAGAAAAAAGAATATGTCTTCATATAAAATAATTTATAAATGTTGAGTTTGAAGAAACAGACTGAAATGCAAATTTATTGGATAAAAATTAATTATTCAGGGAAAGTGTGGGAACATTATGAACAGACATGTTTGAGTTTCTAGGATAATCATCTTAGACATTTCATAGCATTTAAGAAAGGAATTTGTACAGAAGGATGGATTAGCTGCTGATATGATACTGTATTACCAATATCTTTGTTAATATTCAGTATCCATTATCATTGTTATATTTCTGTACTTAGTAGCTTTAGGTTATTTGCTAAAATGTCACTTAGGTAGTGCATGGAAACTTAAACTAAGAAAAAGTAAGATCATTGAAAACAGTAAAGCTTTTGAAGTACATTCAAAATTTGCTTGGTCTATGCCTGTTTCAGTATTTAATAAATAGGGTCCAGTGTATTTGAAAAGTATGTACCAAGTTCATTTTCCTATCCCACAATAATTTGACCTGCTAATTTTATGCATAAGCATGATAGTTTATAATCTTTTATTTATTATCTTCTTTTTCTGATGATCAGTTGACAGTGTAGGGATTGTTCTCCTAGCTTGTAGCACATAACCATGCTTCAAATAACATGTACATATTCTTTTGTCACATAATCTTTACAATATTCTCAAATAAGATTGCAGAATGTATTTGCAACTCAAATTCTGCAACTGATTTGATGATCTCAAATGATAATCTCTTACTATATGTCTTAAACATATTGCAAAAAACCATTCTGTTCCTGTATCTCCAGTGCATATTTGTTATGACTAAAAACATTCTAGGTAATGTAGCAGGAGTACAAATGAGTTTTACCCAAACTTCCATTGTTCATCCAAGACCATTATGCTTAATTCTCTTTCTTCATAGAGTACTGGAAAGCATTCATAGAGTACTGGAAACTAGCTCTATGGCCTAGTCAAGCTTTCTTAAGAGCTTAACTCTACTTGCTTTTTCTAGGCCTTTTTTTTTCTTTGCAGGCAGCTTCTTAACCTCTCCCTTCCCACCTGGAAAGGGACTACAGGGATCCTTGGGGGTGATAATCATCACTGATCATAGGGAGCCTTTCTCTCCCTCTGGATTGGATGCAGGCAGGGGCCCACAGCTACCACAACCAGTGCAACAGTGGTCTCCTGCCTCATAAGCTAGGGTTCAACCAGGGCGTGGAGGAAGCAAAGCAGAGGAATGGCCGGAATCCAAAGCTCCCAGTGCTTGTTTTACTCCCATTCCTTCCTTCTCTATAAGGTAGGTGGGGACTGAATCTGTTCGAGTGCATTCTCCTGCCTGCAGCCTTATGGCAGGAAACCATACCACGCCATATTGGAGGCCTTCACAGAGGATATGCGGGAGGCCTCAGGGCCTTGAGGACAGGTCATTAAATGGGGCTGAACCTAGAGCAGTGTCAACAGGAGGAGGAGGAGGAGGAGGAGGAGGAGGTTGGTCCTATCAATGCTAACCCTCCCTTTTATCACCAGACCTTTCAGGGTTGGGAGCCCTATCCTGGTTTGCTACACTGGTGCAAGGCCTTGAAAGTAAAAGGATCCCTGCTCATGGGATTAGATAGTGGGTTGCAGGGCAGCTCAACTTGCCCTGCTTGTCCTCTTTCAGCAAGAGACCAAAAGAAAGAAGGGAAGCCAGAGGGTGAGTAGCAAAATCAAACAAAGCCCCAAAAGAAACAAGCCTCACTCTGGGTCTTTGTCCTCCAGTACTAGGTCTTCATCCTTTGGTTCTAATTCCAGTGTTCTGAGAGACCTGCACCTGACTGCAGGAGAGCTGTAGAATTTGGTAAAAGAAATATACCCTTTCATATCCAATCTTTACCCTTGGGTTTGGATTATTAGCAACTTAAGAGCAGAACACTTGTGGGGACACAGAACCCCACTTAGATTCTACTGAGAGGGAAGAAGCATTGTCAAAAAGGAAGGGACCATCTCCTGCAAACCAACGCAAGTTATTTTTTTTTTCCTTACCTTTTTTCCATTGTATTGGTGAAAATGTAGCACATACTCCCAGCTTACTGAAGAGCAGCCCAAGAAACAAATGTCTATCCTTTTCAAAAACAAATGTCTATTCTTGCTCCAACAGGGACTAGGTCATTTTTTTCTCCAGTGGACTATCTAAATTCATCATTACATTCCTCCTGGAATCCTTGAAAAGAATTAGAAATTAATGGGTCAACCTATCCCAGGCCGAACCATTCACAAATCAAACCATCCAAACCATTCTGCTTTATTGCACAAGGCTGTGGAGCTGATCAGTGGTCTCGTGCAGACAGAGAAGGGATAGTCTGATGATCTGTTCAGCAGGAAGGTCAGGGCAACGTTGATCTGCAGGACACTTTTCTGGGATGAACCTCCACTGGGCAGGAGAAGTGGCAGTAGCAGATTTCATTCCCTGGACACCTAAGGATGGACACAAAATGATTTCTGCTTTTGAGGAACTGGTAGAATCCTCCTTGTGTGCCATCCAGCTCAGTGCCAAATTATATCTGTAAACATTGTAATGAGAAGACACATTTGATTCCCTAACAGGCATGTATTCAGAGTCCCAGTTCCAGAAAGCTAGAGCTTACCATTTGAAGGAACCACACTGGATCTCTAGTGAGATCTAGCAACTCTCTGTAATTTTAGCAATACGATGGAACCTATTATTTTTTCATATCAGGGAACCCTACCACAACCAAGTGTAGCTTTGCTGTTACAGAAATTTTATCCAAAGCAAACAAACCATGCATGATCCAGAAACAGCTGACACTGAAGACAACCACATCTGAAGAGATGACTGAGTGATATGGGTAATGCTTCTCCTAAAAGCAATGCCAGGAGATCTGTCAGCATCTAGTTCTAGCACTACTGTGCTTAAAAACCCAGGGCACAAGATTAAATTGTGGAGATGTAACTCTTGAGAGCAATTCCACAGCTGGAGGCCTTTGAAGTCACACATTTGTGCTCCTAGCAAAGGTATCATATTTGGAAGACAGCTCACACAGAAATGATTTAAGAATTTGTGTGGGCCCTCAGTCTCACTGTCTTTATTACAATTTTTAACTTTGTTCATGTTAACCTCCTAGAACCTACAATTTACAGATGTTCCAATTGGAAGACACAAATGGTCCACAGCAATTAATGGCCTTTTAGCAAAGCTTCTTTGCTTTACAGCAAACATCCTATTAAAATGTACATGGGACAAAGGAGGATCACAATGTAAAATGTTCTCCCACCCCATGCTAAGGAGATGGTGATGAATAACACATGATCTTTATACAGACTTTCATACTGTGCTCTGTCACCTTCTGTACTCACATTAATAGCTGCCTTTGTATCTTCAAGAATCTAGGGACTGTTTTTGATCCTGCCGTATTCTGTAACTTTACCTGACATTATCACCCCTGAATGCAGTTGTGGGTATTTGAGCCCATGCTTGCCCTATTCCTGGTTAGGACTGCTTTGTGAGTATATTGGAATGACCCTCCCAGGACTTACTTATTTACAGATTTTTACTTTTCTCCGTCACGTCCCTTCAACTGTCCCACCAAAACTAATTCAAAATTACATATCCTACCAGTGGCCACAAGAGGGGAGTGTTTCAACAAAAGTGAACCAATCCTGTATTGTTTGTACCTGTAAATGAACCCTCTCTTTTTTTCTTTTCCTTTTTCCTTTTTTCTTCTTTCAGATGCACTGATAACTGCATTCTGTGAATGACTGACTATGCTCCTGGTTGGTTTTTGTAATATGTGGCAAGATTGTTCATAGAATAATTACTGTATAAAGGTCACATGTAAGCTAATGTGACTGGCCTAGGAAACAGTGAACTGTTTAGCTGATATTTTATAATTAAACAGTCCACTTGATGATCATTTCCTTGCCTCTGTTTTTCCTAACAACTCAGCTTTCCATTTCTGCCTTTTATGCCTGAAGCTGCTTCTGAAAACACCTGGTTGGGTACCACTGGGTAATGGTCAGACGTATTGGGGTTCCCCAATAGGTTCTTCTGTCACTTGCCTGGAAGTAATGTACAGCTTTATGCATGGAACTTGAGCATTTTTGTGCATGCTTTTTGCTCTCTTCTTAAAATTATATTTTTTGTCCATCTCCCATCTTCACTGTTCCCTCTTTTGCCAGTATGTGCATAACAAGTAGCTTTTTCTGGGTTCAGGGCTAGGTCTGACTTTATTTTCTTGATTCATCAATGAGGCTTATTACAGCCTGCATGAAAACTTCTGGTGATGTTTCTGCTGAAGATCTTACTGTCCTTTCTATATTTGAACACAGTTTACTACTGACAACAATTAATTGACATCTATATGGACTGCCTATATGTACACTTAAGCCTTACCTTAGACATGATCAACCCACCTAAACTCATGTCTTCCACCACTCTACTTTGCAAGCTGGAATACCCCTTATTTTTGTTGTTGGGCATGTTATACAAACTGAAAAATAACTATAATATTTTTCAGAGTACTGGTGTCCTTGTCTTTTGGTGCCTCATGGAACCAAAAGTATTTCACCGTGCAAGAGAAAAGGGCTTTTTGGACATGCCAAAGTAATCCCCAGGCGAATTCTGCATTGTATTCTTTCACCAACAGACTGCTTTGTTACATTGCTCTTGAAGCTCCCATGAGTTTTATTTCAAAAAGCTTGCCATGTGAGGTGGCAACTATTGTTCAAGAATACAGAAGTCCAAAGGTATCTTGGGCAGATAAAACCAGGTACTTTGAATCCTGGCCCATGCTGGTAAGAAGCCCTGTACTCTGGAGGAGAATGATTGGCATACACTTTTAAAAAATGTGTTTTGTGTTCTAGAGCTACCCAAAACTGGACAAGCATGTAATAATTTGCTACAATGATACATTACTATGTATTGATTTATTATTATACCAATGGTTTCTATAACTTGTAAGAAAAGATTAATCAGTTCAAACAACTAGATTGTTTTTAAATCCTTTTAATCCTCCTGTGTATCATTTTATTATCTGTGATACTATATCAGTCTTTATACATTCTCTGGAATCTTTTTTTAAATGCTAGCTACATTTGCTTTCCTATTGCATGTTAAGTCTATTTCCTGCATTTATGTTTCTAAATCTGGAAGAAAGTATAGAGGTGAGTGACACCAGAGTATTATAGAAAGGCTACAGAAACATTGCCTGTGGCAATTGTAGATTGCTGGCATTCTGTGTACCAGCTCTCTTGTCATCTAAAGAATAATAGCAAGTTGCTAAACCTTCAGTAATACATTATAAATGTGTATTAAGATAAACAAGTTTAGGGTATTTGTTCTTTTAACAAGATTTAGATTAGTATAGATTTAACCATCAAATTTCATGTCTATTCTTTCCCAGACTGTGAGAATACAGAAAGAGATAATTCTGTGTGGGGCTGGGTTCCCCCAAATGTTTAAGAAAAAATAACATAGTTTCAAATATGCATTTAGAAATGCATTTGGAATTGCATCACAGCTATTTACCTTTTCTTTTTAGAAGTAGAAACTGAGCCATATGCAGAATACATTGTTAATGGTGGCGCATCAGGTGAATGGGAACATTAGGAAGAAAAATCCAGTCCACTGGACCAAATTTCTCCTACATAGGTTCCATGTGTATAAAAACAAATATAGTTAATATAATAGCTGAAACTTGTGTCTTCATTTATAGATCTCTCTTGCTTGCTGAGCTTGAAAAAGAAGAAAAAGAAAAAGACTGGTATTATGCTCAACTTCAGAATCTGACAAAGAGGATAGACAGTCTTCCTCTTACCGAAAATGTAAGTGGTAATAGTAGCAACCTATTCTGTTATACTGCAACATAATATACAGTACTTGTGTGTTTTACAGTGTTTTTGAAATGCATTACTTTAACTTTCATGCAAAGGTCATGTGCACTTACTGGCAATTTCCTGTGTAAATTTAAAATATTACACTGCTATCCCCAGGCCAGTTCTAAAATGCTTTTAGAAAGTCAGTGTTAAAGAGGGAAATATCAGGCTAGCATTGACAACCTCCTTCCAGACAGGAACCTGTTTTCTGGAAATGTTTTATGCAGGTTTATACAAGGTATTGACATTTTTTGCAGTCTTCTTTGCTTAACAAATTCTGAGAAAAAGTGGCATCTATAAAAGAAACTGATAATCAAGGATAATATTGGACTCAAAGAGTTCTGCATTATACTAAGCTAACAGCATAACTAGTATGGTTTACAAACTCTGTCAGGGGAAATTAGCCAGTTATAAGTGAATCAGCACCATTGATAAGATTCAGGATTATATGTATTCTATGCATCTGGATAGGCGGCAATGAAGCTGCACATTGTGAAAAGACTTTGTCTTAGCAAGAGCAGCAAGGGGTTTTTGCCATTCTTGCTTAACAGCTTGCTTGCCTGGACCTACAAATAGGGCTAGTCATCTGGGGATGGACAACATGACAATCCTTTGTGGGTCCAAGAACCTGTACAAGCCATGGATTGTTAGCCCACAAACAACAACCCTGAGGGAAGCTGTCCAGGTGGGCACTGCTTTAGAGAAGGAAGACTGAAAGGTTTTCAAAATGGAACTGCAAATATCTATTTACTTATTTAAAAATTTTGTATCCCACCCTTTCCAGAGTCTCAGGCAGTGATAACATAGATAAATAAGACATAGCATCACAATAATATATGAAATCAACATTAAAACAATACTGACTTTTAAAATGCTGAGAAAATAAAAAGGTTTTGGCATGGCGCTGAAATGAAAAAAGTGTTGGTGCCAGGCACACCTCTCTGGGGAGCCCATTCCATATTTTCTTGGCCCTTTACTTGTTTATACATTTATTTGTATGCATGGCCTTATTTTGATAATTTAGCTTTTTGTCACATTGAGAAAGCCCATTCTCATAGGTTTTGTTCTAATCTGTCTATAAAGATTAGGAGTCAGTTCACAGTCAGAAACCACCATCAAAGTATTTCGGTATGGGGTTTCTTGTGGCAGTGTCAGGTGCCATTTTGGAAATTCAGGCTATGGTGGGAGCACCTTTTAGCATGTTATTCCATTTGTACCTGGTGAGGGTGGGTTGTCAGGGTGGTTAAGAAGCCATCTGTAATCCTAAAACAGGCCCTGGGTTCTGAATGGCTTCTTAAACCACCCCAGCAATTTTCCCTTACCAGATTTCTACATAATGACAAGCTGAAGCACATCCTCAATGCAAAATGGCAAACCTTATGTAGAAAGTCACCCAGAATATAACATGGCATAATTACACTTTTAAATGCCTTGTTTAGATTATGTACATGGAATGTCAGCATTGCAATTAATTGGATTTGTTTATTTTTGTTTCTAGTTCTCCTTACAGACAGATATGACCAGAAGACAACTGGAGTATGAGGCAAGACAGATTAGGGCTGCCATGGAAGAACAGCTAGGTACTTGCCAGGACATGGAGAAGAGGGCACAGGTAATCATATATCCAGATTTTGTAATCCATCAATCGTTTGTCTGTGCCATTTAGTAAAGCTAGAATTTTAAATATTGTGTGTTTAAATTTGCTTTGGAAAGAAATACTGTCTCCCATTCAAAATGTATTTTTGATTATTCTGTCATAGGTAAAATACTGTGCAAAATACTAGGAACAGCAGCATTGGGTTTTATTCTGTGAATTTAAAAAATATATAATGTCATAGGCTACAGTGACACAATTGTAACTTTTTGACTTAAACAAAAAGTCAAACGCCTGCCCCTTGTTTATCTTTTTCTTCCTGCACCTGTCTTGTAGCCTCATCTGTGGCAGACAGCTTCTGTGAACTTCTGCCCCCTACAACCCTTTTCTCCATTCTTATTGAAGAGTTGACCTGGGAAATATAGGATTACATCACAGAATGGTGGAGATACTAAGTCCAAATAACCAGCAGACCTCTTGATCTGAATTTTCACTTACCTTCACAATACAAAAAGTCAGGCTTGATGAGGGTGCAGAAGTCAAGGTGGGCTTGACACTTTCAAGCTTTTGAGGGAAAAGATCAGGCATTAAGAGGAAATAGCACTAAGTTACATCCGTCCTTGTGGTTCATTGATCTTGGTTCTGCAGAGTTTAGCAACACAGGAGAACTGTTCTTGTTACAGAGAAGTGGTAACAAAATGTTACTAGAGCAATTGATACTCCAAGGTCCATTTAGCATAGGAAAATCATTACTGACTAGCAATACAGGTTGCTGCAACCTCCCAGAGACAATAATGCATCAATGCATGTAAAAGTATTTCTCTTAAGGTTCACTGAACTAAGAATGATACCAGCCAAGTATTGTCTATGTAGGTACATATGTACAGAAATGAATGATTTGACTTATTAAAATCACAGTAGGCAATTTAATATATTCTCTCTTTCTGTAACAACGTAAGAGTAGTTCCATTGGATTGGATCAAAAGCCATCTAGTCTACTCTCTGCTCACAAAGCAGCCAACCACTGGGAAACCTGTAACAGCACAATTTTGCCCATGTTCCCCAGTAACTAGTGTGCATAGGCATACTGCCTCTAATACTGAAAATGGCATATAGGTATCAGTACTAGTAGCCATTGATAGCCTTCTCCAGAAATTTGTCCAGTCCTGTTTTAATGCCATCCAGATTGGTAGCCTATGTCCTGTGGTAACACATTCCCTAGATTATGTGCTTTGTGAGGATGTACCTCCTTTTATTTGTTCCAAATCCCCTACCAGACGGCTTCATGGAATGTCTCTGGGATTTACTATTTTGTAGCACATCACTGTTTAAAACTATTTTCTAAAATATTATTATATTTATATTCTTCCTTTTTTCTTCTTGCAAAGAACTTAACATGGCTTGCATAGTTTTCTTCCTAGCTCAGCAGTTCACTTCACATATTGTAGTAAGTGAATATGGGGGAGAAACTAGTTGCCTAAAAGGACATTATGAGTAACAACTTTTTATAATATCTAGAGCAAATTTTGACAGGAATAAGTGAGAAATAATTAGGAAGTTGTGATAAGGATCTTTAAGATGTCTGTGGCTGTAAAGGGTTAGTAATCTGATGCCTTCATCTCATGGTTTGCCCTAGACTCCTTCAGCATCCTTTATAGCAAGGAATAGATATTTTTTCACATGAATTATAAAAACACTGTTGGAAATGACCTTAACAATTTTTCTTGTTTATCATAATGGAAACTTAACAAATTCATTTATATTTTATTATGAAATGTTTTAATATAATGAAATCATAAAGCAGAAGGAAGCACAATGATGCATAAATTTGTGAAGAAATCTTTAACCTGATGATCTTTCCTTTGATCTCTCTGCAAAATACTTTATATGGGTGATCATTTACAACAGGTGGTCTCCAACCTGTTATATTAATGCCAGTGAAGCAAATGGTACATTGACTATAACAGGTATGGGAAGAAATCTTTGACAAAGAAAGGCTGGAAGGAAAGTGAAATCCACCACCACCAAGGGTCCTTGGTACAACAGGGTAGTTGGTAAAGGGTGATCTTCACTCCCTTCTACCTGATGTTTTGCAGTGAGGGTCTGTTTTTTCTTGTTTCATTTGAAGGAATGAAGAAATGGCTTGTTTGATTTGCATGGGAATGAGGAGTGAGCAGTGAGAGTAATATAAAGAAAGGAGAGTGGGGGAGGGAATGGGAGGGAGAAGGAGCGCCCATCAATAAAAAGAATTAAAAAAGAACCTGGGAAGAGGTTGAGGAGAAGAAGGATGAAGAGCTGGACGGAAGGAAAGACGGAAGGCAAGAGAGACAAATGGGAAGGAAGGAAGGAAGGAAGGAAGGAAGGAAGAGGAGCCAGAGCCAGAAAGAGAAAGAGAAAGCTCAGTCGGAGGGAGGGAGGGAGGTGTGAGGAATCCATGGGGAGGACTCAAAATCCATCAAATTGTCTTGGTTCAGCTTCCCCTGATTCTGGTTCATTGACAACATGCTGGCATGTGCTCACTACGCTGTGAGCTGAGCCAGCTTGTGGATGTTTATTTGTGAAAGAAACCATAATTAGCATATTTTCTCTACTGCCAATAGAATATGTGCAAAATAGTATCTGGAAGGTATGCGATTTTAACATGACTTGTGCAATTTGTGCCAAACCATATGCTTTTTGGATGCCATGTGGCTTGGACAGATTTGCACAAGTTGTGCAAACACTGGATGCTTTCTGTGTGCTACTTTGCACAAATTCTATTGGTAAACCATGAAAAAACCCCTTTGGCTCTGCTAACTTCCATTCATTGATTTGGACGTGGGTGGGAAATTCAGTGAACTCAAACAATCTGGATTTCCCTGTACATCTCTAGTGTCAGGTACTTCTGTAGTGCCAGCCCAGGATCTGGGCTGCTCTAGTGGCTAGAACCAGAACTACCACCACCACATTTGCAGGATTGGTCTCACACCTTGCTGGAGCTCTCAGTCTACTGACAAGTGCCAGCTGGGAGTTCTTGGAGAAGAACTATATAAGAGCAAGCTCTTTCTTCAGAACTGGCCTCAGAAGCACAAGCCATCCTGTTTGCTGCTATGCTTGCATCCTGCCTGACCTTTTCTGCTCCTGGTTCCTTCTGTATATCCTGCATCTTGAAATGTCTCCTGCCTTGTCATGCAGGTGCAACAGCCCAAGTCTTCCTTTAGCTGCAGTACCTGCACCTTACCTGACTGTTCCTGCTCCTTGCCCTGTTTCCTCCTTTGCCATGTTCCCTCAGCATTAAAGGTCCTCCTGTTTTGTTCCTGTGTCTGCATTGAACCTGACTTTTCCTGCACCTGGTACCTTCTTTGTCTCCTGCATCTTGCCCTGTCTCCTGCCGTGCCATGTTGCCTCAACAACACAGGTTTGCCTGTTTGCTGCTATGGCTGCATCCTGCATAATGGTTCCTGCTCCAGGTTCCTATCCTTCCATGTTGCCTTGCTCTTGTGCTTGCTGCCTTGTCGATGTATCCTGCCTCACCGTATTGCCTCAGTAATGCAAGGCTTCCTGCAAGCTGTGTTTCATCTCTGCATCTTGCCTGACCCTTGCTGCATCTGGTTCTTGTTGTGTATTTTGTCTTGCCATGTATCCTGCTGTACTGCATCTCCTTCTCTGTTACCCTGTCCAAGGTACCTACACCTCTGCTTGTCTTCCTGGTTCTTGACCCTTGGCTTGCCCCTGACCATGCCCTTGTCAGCCCTCATGTATTCTTCTAGTTCCTGGCCTCAGCCTGTCCCATGACTATGATTTGGACTTTGCATTAAACCAGACCTGGGCATTGTATGGCCCGCAGGCCACATCCAGCCCAATGGCTGACCCTGACTGGCCCGCATGAGGTCACTGGCAAATTAAAAGTCAATGCAAATATATATTGTCATTCAAACCCAAAACAGACTAGATTTCTCTCACTGAACAACAACAACAAAAAAGAACTGAGGTAATGCAAACAAACAAAGCTGGATGCATTTATAGGGAATCCAAAGGCAACTTGGATTGTTGAGTTTTCTGTTTCTCTGTTCTGTTATAATTCATAAGGACTGTACCTTACTATGTTAAGCATTGGGAGATTACATATGTTGTAAATTTGCACTATATAGGTAAAATTGAATTTATTGCTTTTCATGTAATGTTAATGTTCATGTTAATGTTTTTGTGAATATTCATTAAATAGTGTTGTAATGTTTCATTTACTGTTTTTATAGAGATATATATTGAGCAGAGCTGTAAGTGCACTGGTCTGGCCCTTAACAACTGTCAAAGTTTCTCATGTGGCCCCATAGGAAAATTAATTGCCCACCCCTGCATTAAACCATGCTTTTGGATTCATTCTTTTCTGGAGTTCTGTTGCCCTGGTCCTGGTGTCTCTTTGCTCTTGTCACCAGGACAAATGCAGAGGTGTGGGGGAATACCAATTTTTTTATATATTTCTTTCCCTGCTAACTGCTTGAAATTTATACTGTTTCAGGTGAGAGTGGCTAGAATTCAACAAATTGAGAAAGATATTCTACGCATAAGACAAGTCCTGCAGTCACAAGTTGCAGAAACAGAGGTCAGTTTTTATTTTGTATCTTTTGCAAAGTATGTGCTCTGCCACTCTCTAAGCCATGGTTAGAGGGTTGCGAGTGCCCCATGTGCTTCTGTTTCTTCAGATGTGCATGTGTGTGTCATGCACACATTTTTTTCTATCTCCTTCCACACCACTTGTCCTTCTGTCAGGCCTTAGCATTCTTTCTTCCAGGCTTCTGGCAAAGATTTTGTTGGTCCAGAAAGCATTTAATTAAAGTGCTGCTCCTGTTATTTTAGGATTGCTACCTATATTATTGTTTGGTGTTCATTTTCTTTTTGGCAATGTTTTCATTTATGGTATGGTACTCTTGCTGTATAACAGTTTTAATGTGAAATCACTTGGAACCCACTTTGTGAGAAATAGCAAGACATAAGCATTTTAAATGAATACCTTTTTGGAACCAACCATGGCACAACTTCACTGTGCAATTTATGCAAAATGCAGATTTTATTCTTCCCTATTGGATCTATTAAAACACTTACTTAGAGTTTGATTTTGTCTTATGTTCACTGTTGTACTGTACCTTACTGACTGTGTGCTGAGATCATATTCTACAACTTCTGAGGTGCAGCAGGGGGCAGTACTGCAGAAAGTCTTCTCATTGGTGATGCTCCCTTTGTGGATCAGTCATTATAGTTGCCTGGTATTACCTGGCTTTATGTTGTTTGAGTTCCACTGTCAGACAAAGATGTTATTTCCCCTGGGTCTTTTAAATGGGGTATTTTAATCTTTAGTGTTTATCCTGCTGTTTATGGTTTATCTGCTACTTTTAGGGCTGATTATATTGCTTGTTTTGTGTCTTAGCTGGGGTGGTAGGGAGTGTCCTAAAGGCTAAAAGGGGTGGCAGGAAGCATTCTGCAAAGCAGGAAGTAAGGAGGATGTACCACCTGTGCTGTGTGCATGTGTGTTGCCTGGTGCGTATGGGTGTGTGTAAGTTGCTTTGTTTGCTTTGGCATGGTAACTGTAGCTTTGCCATAGTGTCTGACCATACTTCTATCTGTTGCTCAGTTTCTTGACCATGTTGTTTGTCTTTGAGTCTATGTAGTTTTGTTGTTGTTGTTGTTGTTGTTAGTCATGAAGTCGTGTCCGACCCATCGCGACCCCATGGACAACGTTCCTCCAGGCCTTCCTGTCCTCCACCATCCCCCGGAGTCCACTTAAGCTCACACCAACTATGTCTATGTAGTTTACCTTCTGTTAAATGGAAACTGGAGTAGAAAGCTGTTGGGTTCAGAAAATATTTTGTGTTTGAGATCAGACATCAGGTCTGCCTGTTTTGAGTTCTCAGATAAGTAAATTTTCTCAACTTGTCCCGTTTGTCTTCTAGGAGATGAGAATTTTATGAAAGGCCATGCCTACTGTAGTAGCCATTTTATGGATGGCAGTCCCCTTCAGCAGCCATTTTGTGTGTTTGATCACAATGCTTCCAACATTTCAAATATACCCACTGACCCAAAAAGGTTGGGAATCCTGCTCTCCTCTCTTTGTTGTCAGATGATGGTGTGATGTAACTGAATAGCTAGGCACCCACTTACTACATTATCTTTTTGAGGATTGTTGATAATTTTTGGTCATAGTCGAACAACAGGAAGTCTACTAAGCAGATAGCTGACTGGTATGCCAACCATGAATCAGTGAATTGGGGAGGAGATAAAACACAAGGTTGCAAGGATGGTATGGCCTTTTTGAAATATATAACTTTAGCTGTCAAACAAAATTTAATCTTTCTAGACCACCTAGAGAGCTTTCCTTATGGGGCAATATAAAAATGTAATGAATGAATGAATCAGTAAAAATTACATTGGCTTTATTTTAGTTTATTTCATGTCCAAATTGAGGCTATGTTAGTAGGATTTCATTCAGTTTGATGGTTATGTTATATGTATGTTACATGCAGTAGTTTCTCTCACATCAGAGAAACACCTTCATAAACCTAATTTATGAAGGCATGCCTGCTTGACCAAAAAACCTCTATTTGATGGATTTATATGAATTTGAATTAACTACTGTGTAATGTCACATAGAATATAAATCTGATTGAACATAATGGATTTGGTTTCGCTTATTCTGGGTCCCAGATTATCGTGTTACTTACATGTTCAGTTTAGTTCCTGCTGTTAACTTTAGGTATATTCCAACAGTCTGACATAGTACTGACCTCCTTTGAAGAGACAGGTCTGCCTAACCCCTCTTGTCTGTGAATCCCTTAAAAATCTATCCAGTAGGGTTTTCTGCATACATCTGTGTGCCTGTACGGTGTGGGGTGTTCTGTATGCAGTTCTGTGTTAATTTGAGTCAATATTGAAAACCTGTTTTTTATATTCTGTCAGAGTGCTTTTAGAAGAAGAAGAAATGCTGTTTTTTCCTTGGTGGACAGCTTCATTAATCTAGTTAAAGAATCATTAGGCTAGGAACAAGGCACATGTTTAAATCTCTTTCTTTTTAAGATGGTTACAGTTTAGGTCATGATGTAACTGTAATATGGAAAGATTCCATTAGTACGAAGTGACGTACTATGTATATTTTGGGCTATCCACCCAGGAAGTGTTTCTGTTTGATTGCAAAGCATAAGTAATATTTTAACTGTACCACTCATAGCCTCCAGTAAATGCATAGATCATGTGACACTGCAGAGGAGACAGTTGTTTGCTCCAATTCTGTTATATTTCTGATAGTGATGTGAGCACAGCTGGTGGAGGATGGTGTTTTGTGTCTCACAGCAAATCCTTTGTCTTCTAGGGCTATAATCCTCAGAGGACATGCTTCATTTTCATCCTGCAATTTTGCTAATACAGACGGTCTCGGCTGCTAATTATTGAGACTAGAGGTTATGAAATGCAAAGCACAGTTCAATGGCTATATGAAGCTACAGCTTTGATGCATTCACAGGTTTAAGAAAGATGCACATGATAAAGTGTATTCTACTTCTTTATGTAATGCTGTAAACCCGTACATTAACAGAGGACACCTCCAAGCAAGCATGATGCAGGCTCGCATGAAGCTGAGAGGCAAAATGAAGGTCAAGGAGCAGCAGAAATCAGTGTGGCAACTGCTGGCAGTAGCCAGGTAAAGCCAGGATTTTATTTATAAGTAATGCTTAAACATACGGTGCTTTTGGGGGTTGGAAGTAATAATTCTGCTCTGGTAAAAAATGTGCTTGAATGGATTTTTTGTATCTGTTGAATCAGAAAAGTAGTGCTATTAGAGGAGATAAAAGTTATTTAATCTTTTGAAAGGATATTCCTTAAAAATTATAAATATTCTACATTATGAGACTAGTACAGTTCTTGATCAAAGGGTTATTGTGCATAAATTTAAACTGGAAATGATAAAACCTCTTTGAAATGGATTTTGTTATTTTTTTAAATGTTAAAAAATAATGAAAGCGATTTTCTTTTATACTATTTTAAAATGGCTACTCAAATGACATTGAAGTAGAAGTTTCTGATTAGAATAATTTGCTTTTTTCAATTAAAGGCTATGTTATATAAATCAAATAATTTGATCAAATTGTGCATGTATATTGAAATGGGAAATACTTTTGCTGCTGTTAGCTTGTACTATGCAAAATTTGAATGTTGTCCAGCTATGTCTTTATATATAGAATATTTTTAGCAATCATTTAGACAAGAATATTATATAATTTAATATAACTAAATTTTTCTTCAATCATATGTGAGTATGCTGTAGAATCTTTACATTAGTAACCCAAATTATTGTATATTCAGACCCTTGCATATTTCTTAAATACTGTTTGACTATAAAACCATTTAAATTCATAAAATTATAAATTGCTTTAAACTATTTAATGCTATATGGCTTCACATATGTGAAATTTAGCTTGTTTAGACTGCATTATTCTTTCCATACAACTCATCCTGTCATTGAGACTACTCAGCATTACGAAGCTGAAAGGTTAGCTACCCAGTTCAAAAATATATTTTATTTTAATTTTCTGATCCTTTTCTGAGCATTAACCTGGGACCCCATTCTAAATCTTTATGAAAGCAATGCTCTGATCTAAAAAAGCATAACTTTGTTTGGTATGAGGCCATGTTATTGTAAATAAGTTGTGATACACCTTGTAAAATTGGGGGTTTTTTTAACTCATACAAATGGGAATTTACTGTGAATGAATTTTATTTGTACATGAGCAGGGAATGGAAAAAGTTCCTTCCGATCAATGAATTTGGGATGAATATAAAAAAAATTGAAGTGTTATGTTTAGTGCAGCTTTCCATTTTTCTTTAAAAATGTGATTAAAGTATTATTTTTCCTTAGCTTTATGGATAAGAGTGACTCAGCCTGTTTTGTTGTAAGACATTTGGGATTACTTACTTTTAATGAAAGGCCATGGATAGAAGGCTTAACGGAGCTCTGTTATTTCTGGAACTCAGCTCAGTTCACTTTTGTGCATTATAACGTAAATTGCTGAAATACAAGAACTCAACATTTTAGTTATTCCAAGCAAGGTTGAAAAGCAATATAACTTGATTATTGATCCACCATGGATACTGTTTTCTAGAAGGCAGCCTTTTCTTTTGTAGCACTGCATTGGTCTGCATTTTCTTTTGCTCTTCCTCGTTTTGCTTTGGTACAAGATGTGAAATTTGCTGATTTTTTTCCAAGTTAACTGATGGATTTGAAATAGTTTCCTTTTTAAAACAGGAGAAACATCAATTTGAAATGTGTTCAAGGAACAGAATACTATAACGAGAATGAAAAATATAGCATATAAGATGAGAAGAGTAATAGAGATATTAGACTAGAGATATAGGAGTGGCTAACTGGAGGAAAAAAGTAAGATTGGCTGTGAGTGGGTGGGAGGTAAGAATGAGAGAACAGCAATTGCATGTGCTACACAGTCATCTATTTTACTAGATGGATGAGGGTCTCTTTTGAGTGGCTTGGATCCCAAGAAACACTGGTGGGATCAAGTGGGCAGAAACTGACTTTTCTAGTCCTTTCCTTCCCCTCACAGTCCTTTCCTGAGAGTAGTGGAAACCATCCCAAATGTGGGGTAACTGGTGAGACAGGGAACTGAGAAGGAAGGGTGAATCACAAAAAATCATGGAAAGCACTTTGTGAGCAGATCTCCTACTTTCCAGTGATCCTCCCTATCCCTCTTTGTCTCCTGTGCAAAAGTTCACCTGAAGGATCCCCTGACCTTCAAAAGAGGTTTTTTGGGGTACTGCTAAGCAGAGGAAGGGGCACAGTCACCTTCTGCAGATACTTCTTTGGATTCAAACTAGTGATATTAATAAATATAGCACAGCTTGATTTGGGCCTTGTAACAAATTCTAGACTTTGTGGTAGAATACATTGATCAGTTATCACTATAAAGGCTGATAATGTTTAGCAATATAACTTAGTAAAATCAAGTCTGATAGAAAGTGCAAGATTAATATACAATCACACATTACATGGACATAGCATTCCTTTTTATTTATTTTTTAATTTCTGTGATAGGGGATAGTTCTGTGCTATCAAAATATGCAGAGACTCTTTTTTCTTGTTCTCTTATTACTCTTTCGTACTTTTATATAGTCCATTTCTCTCTCAGTTACACAACCTTCTTTGATTGTGTGATGGAGTGAGATGTGTAAAATTTATGCAAATTTAAGAGGCACTATTGATACTAATGGATTCAGTTTGCACCCAGACCTCAAGAAAAGAAGTCCTCAACTGAACACAGTAGGCTAGGGAAACCTAAGTCTAAGCTCCTTTATATCTATGGAGTGTTTTGGGAACTTGAGCCAAGTATCAGTCAGCCAGTACCCCAAGCTTCCCCCTGACACACACACCACACACACAGACCTAGTTCACATAAGAACATAAAAGAACCTTGCTGGATCAGACCAAATGTTTATCCACTCCAGCATTCTGTGGCAAACCAGCTACCCACAGGATTCCTCAAGCAGGGTTGGTGCAAGATTTCCTCCTGCCCAAGCTCCTCAGCAACTGATGTATTCCATGCATGCCACTTCTAGTAAAGGAAGGGTAGTGGCCACTGATAGCATTCTTCCTTATGAATTCTCTCCAATCCCTTTTTAAAACCTTCTATGAGTCTATCAAAGTGAACCAGATTGGTGGCTATCACTACTTCCCATGGCAACAAATTCCAAAGTTTATCTTTGTGAAGGAGATTCTCCTTTTATCTGTCCTGAACCTCCCACCCACTAGCTTCATAGGATGTCCCCAGGTTATGGGAGAGTGAGAAAAATGTCTTCCTCTTTACTTACTGTACACCATGCATTGTTTTAAATCCCTCTATCATGTCTCCCTTTACTTGCCTTTTTTTCTTAGCTGAACTGTCCCAATTGTTGTAGCTGCTTCTCATAGGGGAACTGTTCCAGCCCCATGATCACTTTTGTTGTCCTTCTCTACACTTTTTCCAACTCAGTAATGTCCCTTTTTAGGTGAGGTGATCGGAACTGAACATGATATTCCAAGAGTGGCTACACCAAAGATTTGTTTAAGGGAAGTAAGATTTTGGCAGTTCTGGTTTCGACCCCTTTCAAAATTATGCCTAGCATGGAGTTTGCCTTCTTCACAGTATCTGCGCAGTGGTCCGACATTTTAATTGAGCTGCCCACTGCTACCCCAAGATCCCCTTCTTGCTCATTCACTACTAGTTGAGGTCTCATCAGCCTATTCTTGAAGGTAGGATTTTTTGCCCCAACATACATTATACTTGTTCATATTGAACTGCATTTGCCATTTTGATACCCATTCTCCCAGCTTGGAGCCCTCAGAGTTCCTTAACTACCCTAAAAAGTTTAGTGTAATCAGCAAACTTGGCCATTTCACCCTTGATTCCAGATAATTTAGGAATAGGTTGAAAAGCATCCGTCCTAACACAGAACCCTGTGGGACTCCACTGGTTACATATCTCCATTGGGAGAAGTTTCCATTCATTCCTACCCGCTTTCTTCTGTTCTTTACCCAGTTAGTGATCCATAAGAAGATCCCTTCACACACATACTTTTTTATTTCATGACTGCTTAGTTTCCAAAGGAGCCTTTGGTAAGGGACTTAGTTTATTTGAACTTCTGAAAGGCTTTTGGCAATGTTTACCTGCTCACCCTGTCTGCGTTCTTATTGACACTCTCAAAGAATGTGGGTTAGTAAGACAAGACTTCCCCCCTGTGGATGCAATGCTGATTTTTTTTTTCAGGAGGGCTTGTCCCTCTATGCACTTACCGATTCTAACTTTAATCATGCTTTCTAGCAGTTTACCCTAACTGGACTGTAATTTTCCAGATCCACCTCCCTCCCCGATCCTTTTTTTAAAATGTGTGTTATATTGGCCATAGGAACCTGGAATGCAAGATCCATGAATCAAGGCAAGCTGGACATGGTCAAACGAGATGACAAGACTGAACACTGACATCTTAGGAATCAGTGAACTAAAATGGTCAGGAATGGGTGAATTTAATTCAGATGACCATCAGGTACACTACTGTGGGCAAGAATCCCTCAGAAGAAATGGAGTAGCCTTCATAGTCAATAAAAGAGTAGGAAAAGCAGTACTGGGATACAGTCTCCAAAATGACAGAATGATCTCAGTTCAAATCCAAGGAAAACCATTCAACATCACAATAGTCCAAGTCTATGCCCCAGTCTATGCCCTGGTGCTGAAGTTGACCAGTTCTATGAAGGCCTACAAGACCTCCTAGAATTAACACCAAAAAATGCTGTCCTTATCATCATGGGGGATTGGAATGCTAAAGTAGGAAGCCAAAAGATAACTGGAATAACAGGCAAGTTTGGCCTTGGAGTACAAAATGAAGCAGGGCACAGGCTGGTAGAATTTTGTCAAGAGAATACGATGGTCATAGCAAACACTCTTTTCCAACAACCCAAGAGACGACTCTACACATGGACATCACCAGACGGTCAACACAGAAATCAGATTGACTATGTGCTCTGCAGCCAAAGGTGGAGAAACTCTATACAGTCAGTAAAAACTAGACCAGGAGCTGATTGTGGCTCACATCATGAGCTTCTTGTTGGAAAATTTAGGCTTAAATTGAAGAAAGTAGGGAAAAGCACTAGGCCACTCA